CACTACGAGTGCCATCTAGAGCAGCGAAAGAGCCAATAATGGCTCGCACGGAGCGATCTCCGCAGACTGTTGCCCAACCAAGGTTGTCAAGAAATGGGAGCCCCTAGCACCTACGTACGTACATTCAGGGTGGCGAGGGCGTCAACATGGGCGACGAGCATGGGGCAGTTCAAGTCTGTTTCTGCAGACCGCCTCGGAGCCTGGCCAAAGAAATACTCGGATAATGCACCCATTTCTTGGACGAGCGCTCAACCGAGACGCCACATGGCCGATCCCGCTGCTGTCCTTGCTTTCCCCACATTCCGGTTGCTTGGAGCCATCGGATGGATCACAGTTGGCAACCTGTGGCTCCAGACTCTATCTACACAAGCGGAACGACAAGTGCCAGGGTCGCGCTCAAGTGACGCAGTCAACCTGCTGCTGCGCTATCTTCTGCTGGTGATCCCCTGTATTTCTTGCAGTCAACAGCTCGATGGTAGCAATTCATGCATGACGTTTTCCCGCCTCGGAGCTCACATCAATGTCCCCCACTATTGTCGCTCCCTCAACGAATTTCGCCATGGGCTTCGGCTGCCCCGCGAGGCGCACGTCGAACAGAACATGGTGGGGGGCAGTGACAGATTACGCATGACGAAAGATTTCTTGGACGCTCTGCCCTGGTTTGTGCCGGGGTCGTGAACTTACACCGGATGTGCCGACAAGCATTGGTGAGGAGTCGTCGGAACATGGATGTGAACGCGTGTCTGTTCAGAACCGCTGACTTGAGAAGAGTACCCATTACAGTTCGAGCGAACTCGATCGATATTACAGTAGACGTCCCGCTGGTTTCAGACCTCTTCCGGGCGGCGCGCGCCACGACAGGCGGGACTAGTTTCCAATCCGTCCCCCATGTTGAGGCACTAGATCCTAACCGTAATGCTTCCGTGCGTCGCGGACTGCTTCATGATGGCCATGGCAGTCCCGTCAGTGGCGGTTCACTTCGTGCCTGGCAAGGCGGGTCGCCGCCTCCCTGCTTAGCTTCGGTCTCGTTAATGTTCAAGCTTCCTCGTTGGTCCGCTCCAAGAAACTCTTACTTCCAAGCCGACCACAATAGACATCACCTGCCCATGATCAGCATGTTACCACGGTAAGGCCGCCGCGGACTACCAACAACCTACTTCGCCTTCTGTTGTGGATCCCCTTGCTTCCGCTCGCCTGTCCCGTACGTGTGATGTGGTGTCCTTCACCAAGGGCTAGCTCCTTGGAGTCCCGGCCCTGGTCCGCATGTCAAATGCCTCCTTTTGTCTTCTCATCACGCACAGTCTCACCGTCACACATCTTTTATTGTCCCTTGCGGACACCTGTTCGAGTCACCCTAGGGTTCGTGCTGAACTTCGTCTGCCTCGTCACTGGCTCGTCTGCAGTACATGTCTATATTTGTTTGACGTTGGACGGCATTCACGATGTGGCTGCAGTAAGCTTCTCACACGGTATACTTTAGCATTACTTTGTTGCCTCCACAACTTCTTTCCGCCGAACTCAAACACATCAAGGACACGCTTCGAAATCCGATCATGGTGGTGATTCGGCTTGACTCCTGCCAAAGGAGAGCACCGATATACTCGGTCAAGCAGGGGACTGAGCAAGCCTTGGCCAGCCTGCTGGCATCGTGCCGAGGCCAGCTCCCGTCAGCTTTCGTCCATGCTCCGCGTCGATTAGTTTTCAAAGACGCTCCAGACGACGACGTTCACTTTCCTTCTCCTCTCAAGGAACAGGAAGCTCTGGCCGCCATCAAAGCCTTGGAAGGCGCGGCTGCAGCCGCCTTTGCAAACCTTAGAGAGGACCACCAATCACCGAGAGATATCACGATCGATATGTCACTAATATCCTGCTTTCTAATGTCTGCCTATCTCTGTACCCTCGACGGCTTGGACAAGGCGGACCCTCGCGTTAAGAACAAGATTCCAGGTACGCTCCTGACTTTGCTGCTGCTTGGCGTTAAGCCCTAGGTGATTGACGTTTCACCAGACACGGATCTGAACCAGGCACAAACAGTTCTCTACAGGCGTCTCTCGGCAAACCTCTACGAGACCAAGACTCCCGGAGAGTTCTACCACATTCATGGTTCATTAGAGGCTAGTGCAACTCTCTGCATGATTGGCCTCCCGCCCTTCAACCCTCGTCTTCAGGACTACAGAGAGTGCATCGAAACTATCGAGTCCGCGGTCAGGCGCTTCACCGTGGACGAGCTGGAAGAAATGAATCGAAAAGAAGCGCAGGCTGGCGTGCCGGTTCTCACGGCGGAACAATTCCGGGCGACACCGCAAGGCCAGGCCCTCGCAGCGCTTCCCCCTTTTACCATTCAACCGTTCGAGTCCTCCACCGCTCCTGCGCCTTTAGGCCAGCAATGTCCTGTCAATCCAGGGACCTCATCTCTGAATCAGTGTCTGCGTGGCATTCGTGTTCTCGAACTATGTCGAGTAATCGCTGGCCCAACAATCGGCCGCACTCTCGCATCACATGGCGCTTCTGTTTTAAAGGTCACATCTCCCTACCTTCCCGATGTCCCCTTTTTCCAAGTCGATGTCAATACCGGGAAACATACTACTTCTCTTCACTTGCACGACCCAGTTCAACGCCTTGCCTTTGAGGCCCTCATCGCCTCCGCCGACGTCGTGCTGGACGGTTACCGCCCTGGTGTTCTAACCCGACTAGGCTATGGCCCGGATCGTCTTGCCAAGCTCGCTGCCGCTCGAGGCAAGGGCTACGTCTACGTCGCTGAGGATTGTTTTGGAGGCTCTGATACCCCAGTTGCCGATCAAGCTGTTTGGTCGGATCGGCCTGGCTGGCAACAAATCGCCGATTGTGTGACCGGCGTTGCCTGGGAGCAGGGTCGCTTCATGGGCCTCAATGAGCCTGTGGTGCCACCTTTTCCCATGTCTGACTATGGTACCGGCGCCCTCGGTTGCGTCGCCGCCATGGCAGGTCTCTATCGTCGCGCCACCGAAGGGGGTAGCTGGATGTGTAGAACGAGTCTATGCCAGTATGACATGTTTCTCCTTTCTCTGGGAACACACAGCTTTGAAGTCCAGACTCGGTTGCGCATGACGCATGATCCAGCGTTTTTCGAGCTGAGACACCATGATTCCGTTGACGAAGTGGGCAAGCGGGCATTGAAGAGTATGAGAAAGGTGCGCCCGGCTCTCTTCGAGGACATCATGATGCACACGGCCTGGAGCCATGGATTCAACGCCGAGGTCAGGTGGCCGCGCGAGGCTCTGCAGGTCAAAGGTGTAGATATTGGACATGTTCGAGCCACGAGACCAAATGGGTGCGACGAGGCCTCTTGGAAAGGATGGGAAGAGCAGCCAAATATGGTGGCAGACTTGCGTCTGTGAGCCGGCTTGAGAGGCTATTTTTGTTGTTGTTGCTGTTGCTGTTTTTGTCTCAGTCTGCGAACGGAGGGGTTTTCCTGGCGGTTTGGGAATGTTGGAGACTTGTGTGTGTGCATCTTCTATGTCATGAGTTATATTGCCTTTAGGTGACAGATGACTGACGAGATCACGACGGATGATGGAGTAGCATGTTACGCAGCATTAATATGCAAACAGAAGGCCGGTATCATAACTCACTGCTTGCGCCTGTCGTGTGTGCATTCGGTTCTCAAGAGAATGATACCTTGAAGTAACATGGAGGCGCGGCGCATGTGGGAACCGTCTCGTTTGTCCAAGACATTGCAGCTGGAACGTGGAATGACAACCAGATTAGGGATACTCCTTCATTGTATTTGCTCTATTGGTAAAAGTACACTCATTTTCATCCACAACCCGTCCCCCGGCAGCCCCGCGCGTCCCCTCACTCACAGCACCAAGCGTCCCGGCTCGTTCTCGAGGATGACCTTGATCCTCTCCAGGAAGACGGCGGCGCGCTTCTCGTCACCCCTCGGCACGACGAGGGTGAACAGGTTCCTCCCGGACGTGTTGACGCCCTCCCGCGCGGCGGCGGCGGCAGCAGCGGCGGCAGGCTTGGGGGGGACCTTGGTGCGGACGACGCCGCGACCGCCCGCAAGGACTTCATTTTTTTTCTTTTTTTTTTTTTTATTG